ACTAACGTAACAATTGCCGTGATTCACTTAACAACTGTGTTACTAACGTAACAATTGCCGTGATTCACTTAACAACTGTATCAGGAACGGTGCAAATATGAATGTATATTATAAATTAATGGGAATTCTTTGTTCTAATCTCTGCTTTTTCTCATTGGAGATAGGTGATATTATAATACTTTAAAGACTTATTGTTATTTGATCGATAATTATGAATTCAAGGAAATAAGGATTGTTACAAATGAAAGAATATTAATGGTAATTTTAACACATAATGCTCAATGACAGTGAAATATTCAGTTATGTTTAATGCAAAACCAGTGATGTTATTCGTAATAATGCACAAAAACTTGTAACCAAACGACATGCTTGATGAAATGGAGGAAAGTTTTTTTTTCCTTGCTTTTGTTTTGTATGTGTTGTTTTGGTTTTTTTTAAGAAAAAGAATAAAAATATATATTAAAAAAATATTTCAAGTACTTTTAAAAAAAAAATGTCGAGTCGTTATGGCATCAGGCGAAAAACTGGGAAGCCATGGATTCTAGTCCTACCTTAGGCATGAAGGCTGGCTGGGTACTTTGGGCTAATCAGTTTCTCAGCCCAATCCACCTCACAGGGTTGTTGTTGTGGGGAAAACAGGAGGAGGAAGGAACATTAGGTATGTTTGCGACCTTGAGTAATTCATTTCTAACAAATGTATCCAATCAGAGAGGTAAAAGCGTTGCATCAGATCAAAGAGGGAGAAACCACCTCCCGCCTATGGTCTGATCTAAGTGTAGTACACAAAATTGTCTACTACAATGTCCTACCTGTCAACAACTACTTCAGCTTCAACCGCAATAATACATGGGCAAACAATAGATACAAACTCAAGGTAAACAGCTCCAAACTCGATTGCAGAAAACATGGCTTCAGCAACAGAGTGGTCAATGCCTGGAATGGTCTACCTGACTCTGTTGTTACATCCTCAAACCCCCATAACTTTAACCTTAAACTGTCTACCATGAACCTCACCCCATTCCTAAGAGGTTTGTAAGAGGCATGCATAAGCGCCCCAGCATGCCTACCGTCCCTGTCCTACTGTCCCCGTTTATTCGTACCCATTTCCTGTGTTCATGCCCATTTATATTTATACCTGTTTTCTCGTACATGTTTGACAAACTAATTAACCAAACAAACAAACGATCTCCTGGAAATAAGCAAGGAAGGGATGGAGACCACTGCCTTAAGCCAGAATTTAAAGCATTATAAACTTCCAATGCATTTCCCCCCCAAGTTCAGTACTATAGCAACTTCTTGCAAAATCCCCAAGAAAGAAAGGGAACTGTTCCGAATCTTACGTGCATGAGGACACGGGGAGGAGGGGGATCTTAAGTTATATCTCCCTTATCCCTATTATTAACAGAGCTGGCCGTCCCATTGCAAGTCTGGCTGCTACCCACCCTTTGGCGGTGCTCTCCACAGCAGCTCCTCCGTCCGAGAGTTCGAATCGGGGCGTAGGAAAGCGGAAAACCAGGCACAACAAAACCTGTTTCCATGGGAATGGGGCGACGGCTCCTATAGCAACGAGGCAGGCGCTGTAGAACGGGGCCGTCATTGGCTGCTGCTCTTGGTTAAACCCGTAAAAGAAAAAGGAATGAATGAATGAATGAATCAACAGAAGCGCCAGATCAAGATATTTGAATACGTTAAATCAGAGGTCCCCAAACTGGGCAATTGTAAGACTTGTGGACTTCAACTCCCATAATTCTCCAGCCACCAGCTGGCTGGAAAATTCTGGGAGTTGAAGTCCACAAGTCTTAAAGTTGCCCAGTCCCTCTCCTTTAAATCCTTATAAGTAAATCCTTGGTCCCGTCCGTCGACAGCAATTTTAACACGAATGGATCGAAAGTTTAGCCCTGGGTGGGTGGAGTTCCTACGGAGATGCAGATGAAGTGGCGGCGGGTACAAACCCTGTAGCGCCGAAAGCTGAGGGGTGCTTTTCTCTGATCTCGCCTTTGGTGTGAAGGACGGGCAGGTTGACAAAGGAGGGCTGCCACACCTGGCTGCAAAAATCCGGAAGAACAATAGATTTCCAGCGAATAGATCAGAAACTCTTCACTGCCATACTCCGGATCTTTGCAGCAGCCCGAAAAAGAGGGATAGTCCCGGAGACTAGAAGTTTCCTTAGTTTTGAAGCGCGATTTTATCTTGGTCTCCCCACGTTCTTGTCAGGAATGATGTTTACTTACTTCTAACAAACTTCGCTTCGTTTGGTTACTAGGTTAATCCACGTTTTATATCTCTACACTTAAATGAATCGTATACTAATCAAAGTGTCTGGTTTATAGAACAAGGTCAAGTTAACAATCACCAGGTTTGGCATATTGTGTGTCTTTAAGTGACCTGGTTAAGTTTCAGACAAACCGGGCACTGACATGTTGCTGAGTTTCCATGGTGCTTTGAAACAGAAGTTAATAAGAAGTGTATCAATAATACATGAGCAAAGGATCAATACAAACTCCTCAAAGTAAATCACTCCAAACTCAATTGCAGAAAATAGGGCTTCGGCAACAGTGGTCAACGCCTGGAATTCTCTAGCTGACTCCATTGTTACATCCTATAACCCTCACAGCTTCAACCTTAAACTATCTACCTCACCCATTTCCTAAGATGTCTGTAAAGGGGGGGGGGGGCATAAGCACACCACTGTGCCTATCATCCGTGTCCCCATTTATTTGTATTCATTTCTTTCATGTCCATGTTTATATTTATACCTGCTATCTTGTACATGTTTGACAAACTAATAAATACAAATACAAGGGTGAGACTCTTGCCACATTTGGCCAACACGCGATTGGCGGATTAGTGGTTCTATCAACAAAACAGACAACGAAAAACTCCGGTTGATGGTGGCTTTTCCAATCAGATAGCGTCGTTTAGCTCGAACAATTGGTAGATTGATTCTTTCCTGTTTTTAAAACTCAACATTATGTAATTACATAATTAACAGTAATTAATTCAATTGCTTCTACCCCCCCCCCCAACTGAAAATCTAGGAAGGGTTGAAACTCAAGTTACCACCTGCTCCCATCCCATGAAGTCAAAAATAAGTGCAAAACCCTCAAAAGAAAGCTCATCCATCCCTTAACGACAGGATGCCATCCACACATAAAGCTGTCAGAATGGATTTTTCATTTTTTTAAATATATTTATATTGCCCTTTTAAGGCGGGACAAGCTTTCACATCACTTGAGTTTTCACAAGCACTTAAATAAACCCATGAAGCTTTCAGAGGGGTTTTCTGAAATGGTTTGCTATTTTCTTCTTTCCAAGTATTGTAATAGCAACAGGTATTCTTAGCTTTAGAAAAGAACAAGGAGCTGCCTCTCCAGCCAAACTGTTATTTCCGTATAAGCTATATTTGAGGTGAAGAAGCCTAATACCTAAAATATCTGTAGGACTGTGTTCTTCATGCGTTTCTCACTTCTGAGAGCCCACTGGAATGGGTGGCCACATTAAATGTAATAAATCATCATTGTCCACATCCCCTTTCAGGAAGGACCAACTGTTCTAATGCTTACATTACATTATCTGACTGCTCTTTTGTCATCTTATGACGAGTTAGTTTATAAATTCATGCATTTTGCTCCTAAGAATAAAATAAGGACCAAACACAAAGCTGCCTTTATTTTATTTGTTTTATAGTGGCCATCAGTACAGCCCCAAGGCAGGAAACCACTCTGAGCAAGCTATTGACTTGGCAAGAAGTTGATGACGGTCTGTAGTAGCAGAACTGTGTGTGCCAGACAGCTAAAAAGCACTAATTCACCCCAAAACACACATATGCCTATTCCTGCTGCTTCAGGATAGCCAAGTGGCTGTGATTACATAGATGTCTGTAAAAATCAGGATGATGGGACATACCCACTGACATTATACAAATGGTGCAAATTCCATAATCTGTCAGTCATATCCAATTGATATTATTTTCTTCATTTGAATAAAGTCATGACTTATGACATACACCCTACTCCAAACATACACAAGCATACATGATTGAACATGGTAGATGAAGCTAAATTAAATGTGCTTATCTTACATTTTCTATGAATCAGGCCATCAACCTAATCAAAGTTTGGTTTCTTCATGCAAAAGATGCTATGTGAACCCAGCAATTGGGTTTTGTTAATCTGGATTTTGTGTTTAGAAAATTGCATGACCCTAGGATTCAGGTCACACTGTCCCTAATCATACAACACAGTTAACTGAATCAAGAGGAAATTAAAATATTGTGTAAATAATTTAGCCTAGTCAATAGTGGGTTTAGAGGAGTTTGAGCCCAAATCCAAATAATGTTTGAGCCAAAATTAATTTCCCCAGAATACAGAACTACGTATTTAACTCTTTAACAAGTGGCCAGCAGGGTCACACATATAAAGCAGATTATGCTGATATTAGGCAACTTGCTTTCATGCAAAATCTTGTGTAATACTTGAGACCATTTTCAAAATAGCTTCAAGATATGAAAATTCCAAAACTGAGATTAGAAGCGTGCTGCACCTTAGCTGGCTATTTCTCTAATGGTGTGTCTAAGTGCAGCATAATTTCTTATGGGTGGATGTAAACACTTTTTCCAGCCCAGGCTAATCTGCACCATGACTCCATTTGAGCCACGGTGGTTTTGGAAGATCTGGAAGCCTCTTCCTTATTTTACTGAGCACAATTCTCCCACATACCAGAGCAAATGCTTCTAGAATGATTCTTACCAATCTGGCACCATCCAAATTTCTCAGTCAACATGCACCAGGACTGATGTATCTGGCACCAGGTACTTCAAATATTTTGGACAAACATTTTGGATTCAGTGGTGCTCTTGCTGTAATCAGTCTCCTTTCTGGCAATCACCTCCTGGGAATTTGATGTATCTCATAAAGAGCAAATTCTCCTCATTCCTTCAAGACCAGAAGACTTAAGGTATGCAAGTATTATGCAGAATTTCAACAATCTGCCCATAAGAGTCTCTCCACACAGTCCCTGTGCATCACCGTAGCTATTTGGGGTAAGTATTTTTGCTCTGTTGCAGGAGTGAGCAACTTCAAGGTTCAGGGTTATGCATCCCACAACTCTCATTTCTGCCTCCCCCAGAGCCCACTCCTACTGCATCATAATGTACACCTATAACAGGTTTCATATAGTTTTTTTGTAGCAACTTCAAGGTTCGGGTTATGCATCCCACAACTCTCATTTCTGCCTCCCCCAGAGCCCGCTCCTACTTCATCATAATGTATACCTGTAACAGGTTTCATATAGGTTTAAAAAAAAAAAAACTCCTCCACACAACTCGGAAAAATAATATATATGTTCTCCTCCAGCCAGATAGCCTCACGACCTCATACCTTTTTTTGTGGCCTTTCTGCCCCATTTGTCCCTTTTTTGTTGCCTTTCTCTGCACATTTCATGTGGATTTTCTTTTCCCTAAACCTCCCCCTCCCCAAATGCTAAATCTGATAACCCGCACATGGTTGCCAATACCTGCTTCAGTATCAGATAACATCGCCTGTCTGAGTCATTTTTTTTTTTACTGAGCTCAGTTTCAGGTAGGTCCAAAGCAGGATTCAGCATGCAGCTTTCGGGGACAGATTAGCAGATATTGGGGGGAAAGTAATGCTGGAGCAAATTGTGGTGAAGTGTCAGTTGTGGGCATGTAGGTTAATAGACTCCATTATTGCAAGAGCATTTTTTTTTAATGTACAAGCAAGTCTTGTGGTCTGAAGGAAAACAGGTTTCAATACTGCAGCCTTTGGAAACACACAGAGTTCTAAAAGTATGCAAGAAGCCCTTGTGATCAGGAGAATTTGCACGTTAGCCTTCAAATTATCCACACTGGAATCTGTCTCTATGCATTAATCTATCCCAGGAATTCCAGAGCATAAGGAAATGGAATCAGGGGAAAGAAGGGGGGTATAATACAAAGCAACTAATAGCATAGCTGCCCACAAATGATAGACATAGCACACAGAGTTTTGAGAGACATCTATGGAAGAAAGGAGGGAAGAGGAGAAGAGATCAGGCTTGAATTATCCCTCTAGGTCAATTTGGTCAAATCAGCTTGCACATGTAGTTAAAAGGAAATTCTTGGAACAAGAATCTCTATTCACAGCTGCCTAGAGAGAACAAGGAAGGACCTGCTGGCCTTCTATCTTTTTTTTTTCAGCAAGAGCTCTAGCTGCCCTGGGACCTTGGCTGTTTTTATCTTTTCTTTCTCTTTGGCTTGTGGCTGTGTCCAGCGGCCTGGGACTTCCCTCTGCAGGGATGCAAGCAGCTGTGTAGCAGCACCAAACATTAGCACAAAAGCAGCTGTGGAGCAGTCCCATTCTAACGAGTCACGGCTTCCTGGATTCATTCAAAGCGCCGAAGATGGTTGTAGAGAGACTGCACATATGTGAAGACACACATGGGGTCTGGTTTGCGGCCCATCAGCATCATGTCCTCCACTTCAATCAAACGGTCACAGTTGGCCATTTTTCTACAAAGGGAGACAAGGCATCAGATTTAGGAAAGAAGGCAATTGGGAAAAATTGGGAATGGACAAATGAAGGAAAACTCTCATTCAAGGGGATAAGTACCAACCCCACCATTTTACAAAACTTTCTTCAAAATTAATGTCCTTGTGTTTTTCATTATCAGACATGGGTTTAAATAGTGTAGCCTTTTTAACTGAGGAAAGTTAAGAGCTCTGTGCAACTACTATAAATTTAGAGCAGGCAACTCATGACGGTACTTACTCAGCTGTTGTGAATGCCAATTCGAAGTTCTCCTTGCGCTTGGTGGGGTCCAATGTGTGGTATTCAAATGCTTCAGGGAAGAAGGAGTGTACCAGTGCACAGAAAGCCATCCCATCACTCCAGCTAGAGGAGAAGTTCTGCAGATCTATGTGCTGGAGAACAGGGAGGGGAGAGTGGCAGGGCAGAAGAAAGGGAATGCAAATACTGTAATTCAGGATACGAATCTGACAGAGTTGGGGTGGAGAAGCCTGAATTTAAGTATCTGCAAGGAACCAGAGGTTGTACTACTTCGTATGGGTTCACAAAGTGAAAAAGTGAAGAAGGGGGGAAGGGATGCAGTTTACAGAATTCCTTACCTACCTTGTAGCCAATAGTTTTGGACCGGCACCATTCCAAGAGGATTTGCTTGATGCTGCTGGCACTGGCAACTGCAAAACTCTGGGATCTCTTGAGTTTGGTCCGGCCTACATTCTTCCCCCTGGACAAAATGAGGGACACAAAGAGAAGGAATTTATGCTGTCATCTACAGAGGTAGTACTTTAAATGGGGAAAAAACAGCTCCTTCAACCTTACCCAGAATTTTCCTATTTCATCACAGAGGAACAGTCAAATTTGAATATCATTATCCTGTGTATGCGATGAACATCAGAAAACTGAGGGAGTGTTAGTTTTTACCTTCCCATTCAAATCCCTTCTCTCCTATTCAATTCCTCCACAATTTACTTTAGAATAGGTTAAAAAAATATATTTTTAAAACCTTTTTTCCTGCATGCTGCTTGGAGAACAATGCAATGATTGGTGCTGTTTTGCGTCAACTAAAGGTAAACTGTTGAAACTAAAGTAGGAACTATACTATACTAAAGATTAGCCAATTTTACATTTTTTTTCTTAAAGTTGGGTTTTTATCAGAACAGAGCTTCTGGCATAGCCTTATCCTTAGTTTAGTTTACTTTATTGTCATTGCACATGGTACAACTAAATTCAATGCTGTCTTCAGTGTACACTATAATAACACAAACATATATCCTTTACATTCTGTATAATGGAAATTGAAAACCCGATATTGCACTACGCCGTATAATTCAATATGGTTATTGCCCTGGGATAGAAGCTGTTTTTCAGCCTGTTTGTCCTTGTTTTTATTATCCCATACGATCTGCCAGATGGTAATAGTTCCCCCCAAAAAAGTGCCCAGGGGGAGATGGATCTTTGAGAATGTTTTGAACTTTCCTAAGGCAGCGGGAGCTATAAAGCTCTTCCAAGGAGGGGAGAGGGCAACCAATGATCCTCTAGGCAATGATGTTGACCCTCTGGAGCGCTGTCCTATCTGCCACTGTGCAATTGGCAAACCATACACAGGTGCAGTAAGTTAAAATACTCTCTATGGTGCAGCGGTAGAAGGTCAACAGCAGTTTTTCATTCAGTTCTTTCCTGAGAAGTCCCAGGTAGTATAATCTCTGCTGGGGCCTTTTGACTAGTGCTGCAATGTGAGTGCCCCAAGTCAGGTCCTCTTTTAGGATAACACCCAGAAACTTAAAATTGGCCACTTGCTCCACTTGGTCTCTATTGATAAGCAAGGGCTGGATGTCTGATCTATTCCTTCTATAGTCCACTATAAGCTCCTTGGTCTTATTGGTATTAAGGACCAAGTTATTGTCTCCACACCACAAAAACAACCCTTCCACCTTATCTCGATAGGCAGACTCACACACACACACACACGGAGATTAGTCCCACCACGGTTGTATCATCTGCAAATTTAGTAATACTGTTACTAGCAAGAGTGGAAATGCAGACAAACAAGTGCAAACCATTAGGCTAGAAACTGTGACCTGATTTAAGGCAGCTGTTTGGGTCCCCTTTGGGTCTTCCCTGAACTAACTCTCTAAAAGTTGAACTGGACTAATGGGAGCAACGTACTTTCCAGTATCCTGCTCGAACTTCTCAAAGAGGGCTCTCCTAGACTGAGTCTCTGAGGTCCGGGGAAGAGTTTGAGATCTCACCAGCTCCCTTCGCTTTTCCACTTGTCGATGGACCGAAGTCGGTGAAGAGTGAGACTTTGAAGCCTGGGTTTGTTGGCTTGTGGCGAAACTGCCCCCACAAAAAAGACAGAAAATACGTTTCAAAAGAACACAGTTGCAAAGGATGACCCATTGGGTTCTCCAAAATGGATGCCATACAATAGCTGGATTCGTATAGTATGCTACATCAGGTCCACTACATATTGTACACACAATTTGGATCACTGGGCATTCTTGAAATTTTAAAACCATGACATGAGCATTCTCAAAACACAACAGCCAGGGAAGATATGCATAGTAACAAAACAAAAAACCCAATGACCACTTATTCAAAGGCTGAAATGACATCTAAATAGGCTGCAGTTCCTACCGTTTTTATTTTCTGTTATTATTTATTCCTATGTAGGGATCAGAGACATCCTTGAAAATAAAGATTATGCACAGGGGCAGAGCTTTGTTCTATAACATGCCAGCTTCCCATTTATGTCTTTCCCATTTTTTTTTAAAAAAGAACTGCGCTAAACTCAATTCCTACATTATGACTTAATGTGATGTGAGATGTAGCTACAGCCAAATATAGTTTAGTTAACAAGCCCTGTTTAAACAAGCCAAACTAATGAGGCTTTTCCCACTGACCATGACAGAGGTGGTATTCAGCCAGTTCTGACAGGTTCTGGAGAACCAGTAGCAGAAATTTTGAGTAGTTCAGAGAACCGGCAAATAGGCTGGCCTTGCCCCCGCTGCCTCCCAGCTGATCTTTTATTGCCCTGAACAGGAGAACGGAGCTGGAAAGCAGGTTAGTGGGGTGGGGAGGGAATGGAGATCTTGCAGTATCCTTCCCCTGCCACGCCCACAAAGCCACACCCACAGAACCGATAGTAAAAAAACTGAATCCCACCACTGGGCCATGACCATAGCACAAACATTTCTTCATAACATTTTCAGGGAGTAAAAGCAGAGGGCAAATGACAACGTGGACACAAGGATGTCATCATACAAACTTTATGAATTTAGACAAGAGGGAAACAAGTATGGAACAGTGGCAATGCATATGATGTTACCGTACCTGTGTTATTAGTATAGTTTCATCTTGGTACATACTACTGCCTTCTAGTAATATTTTTCTGCCTTAGACCCATAATATTGCAACTATTTTGTCCCCTGCTTCAGAGTGAGACAGGCTTAAGGCTTCTTGGCTGTACTAATGTTGAAGTAATGTTTCCCTTCTTACTTTAACACAGGGGTCCCCAACTCCTGGACTGAGGCTTACTACCCAGCCATGGCCTGTTTGGAACTAGGCCGTGTGAGTGTCTGGCTGATGCACACACACAGCTCAACTTGCCCGAATGGCAGGCCAGCGTACATGTGAAAAGCTCAACATGCCCGAGCAGTGGGCCGATTCCCCTCTTCCCCAGCCCCTGCTGAGCCACCAAGCCATAAAAGTTGGGGACCACTGCTTTAACGCCACCCATGGGCAGCTTCAAGAGGTGTAAAATCTGTAAGGCCCACATTCCCACCTTGGTGGGAAGTCAAGAGTACTGCAATGACTGGAAACAGTGTAGGAAAAGGGAAGAATATGGCATAATAGATAATGGGGACAGCACATTTCATAGTGGTACAAATTTTCCACAGGTCAGCAGTGGGGAAAGGCCCAATGTCTATTCCATCCAACAGCATGTCCATGCTTTGCCCTTATTACAATAAAACCCAAAGAGCAGATACTTGCAAATCCAAGAATGTTCACCTTTCACTAGATTGGCTTCCATAGTTTACAGTCGATGTGGATTTTGTCCCCGAAGAAAATTTATCTGCACAGAAAATTAAATAAAGAAATTGGGTCTCTCCCAAATCATTGTCATTCAGCATTTGTTTTTGAGTTTGTGTATTGGGGAGAGGGGAAGGGCGAGGGAATCATGCTCTGAATAGAGACTAGAATAGAGGTTGGGATTTGCAATTCACTGGTGCTGATGATCAATCCACCAATGTCATATGAGAGGAATTCATTACTATGTAGACTTCACCTTTGAATTACAAACTCAGGAAAGGCAAACAGTTTCATCTAGATCAGGTTATAAAGTACTCAGATAATTTTCTTAGGATTGCTTATATTATTAAGATTAATAATACAAATGCATTAAAATCTCCTAAAAATAGATTCATATTTTTATTGGTCACCATACAAATATATTTGGCTCTGCTGGACTACATCAAAAACTATCTAGTTCAGCACATTTAAGACTTAAAAATGATTCCAAAAGAGTGCTGTGCTCATTTTCACAAGGTCTGAAGCAGTCCGCCTAATCAATTTTTGAATCATACAGAGTCCTATTTTTTCTCACAGTGGCTACTGGAGCATCTCTCTCAGCGGCATCTTGAGTTGGAATGGATGTAGAAGGGAATCAATCACGTCAAAATAGTGGACTTGGACTTGGACTTAATCTTCGTAAATGTCAACGTCCACAAGGCAGTGACTGTTGCACTGTGAAGGCCAAAGGCAGAACATCACGGATTACAGAGTTGTTTATCCGTGTGTTGTCCTGCCATAGGATTCTCAGCTGGTTTCACGGTTCCATCGCCACGGGAACCAACACTCCTCATTTATCCGGGCTTGTGACCGGCTATGGTTTCCCATAGGCTGGGTGTCAAAATAGTGGGAGTGACCGGAGATGGAAGTCCCATCTCCTTTTCCACGTATGCAATGCGCACAACGCATGATAAACGGGGGCTTCAATTGCCCTGCTGCATCCACTTTGACATTGTGGAATCCGCTGGAGACACCTATTTCTGGGATCAAGGCCCATCTGAAGCACATTAAGGCAGAAGTTCCTTAGCTGATGACACTATAAGCATGTGTTGAAATCAGCAAGATGGCAGTGCTATGATGAAGAGCAGCCCATGTCTTCACCATGCACCAAGAGTCTACCCACTTGTTAATTTGAAGACAAAAACAACATTGGACTGCCATGCTGCAAACCCTACCCCTTTTGTTTGTGCGCTGTGATATCACACAATACATAAATCAAAGGGTTAGGGATTGTTTTAGAACAGTGTGGACTGTTTTTATCATTTTGTCAAATCCTCTGATCTTGTGGACATCTCTAGTTTCCACTCCAATCAAGCCACCTGGTTTCCATACAACGTTTAGTCCCCTCCCTTCATCCTTCAGTGAGGGGTATCTGTTCTTCAACCAAACAGCTGCCTGATACGTCAGTCAGTCAGCATTTGCACACCAAGGTGACTCAAGGTAGCCTACAGTCATATAATTAAAATACAATATAAAACATTAAAATAAGAAATAAGAAACATGTATTTAAAATTCAGGATATTTGAGGGTGAATGTATGGAACCTGAACATGGAGGCCTTTGGAAACCTATTTATTGTGTCAGTTTTTCCATACCAGGGTATAACAGCATAGAAAAGTATTATTCAAACATAATGAAAATATATGCAAACACATTTGCCAACCTGAAGTGAAGGATGCATTTGTTGTCCTCACTGAACTCATGCTCCAGTTCTTCGCAGTGTTCACGGTTGAACTGCTAGCACCTTTCACCTCTTTTTCTTTTTTTAACAAAGAGCAAAAAATATCATTTTGTTTTATAGAGAGAGAAGAAGAGCTCGAAATTAGAGGGTTAACCCATCAAGCCAGGTTAAATCTCTCCTATCAAAAGGCTACGTTCGAACAAGTCAGCATTTGCCCAACAGCCCATTTGACTAGCATGAGATTCTACGTGAGTGTACAAACCCAGAAAATGGTTTAATTTTGTAACCAAGTTAAACATGTTGTGGGAATGCTTTGTGAGTAATAATGCTTCCCAGAACAAAGCCATACTTCTCTGATGTTTTTATTTAAAAGAAAAGGACCGGCTCAATTTTAATGCACAAGAAAGTTAGGTTTCCCTTTCTCACATTTCCCCACAAGTTTAGCTCTAAGATATTTTTAAAGAGATGTGTGAGGAATGGATGCAATGGGACACTCCTGGGTTACTGATGAAAACCACTTCCAGTAATTGGAGTCTTGTAGAGAACTTCTCTGCTATTCATTAAAGGCGGCAAACTTTTTTCCCCAGGGGTTACGCAGAATATCCTGAATAAAAGTGCTCCCACTTTAAAAGTTGACTCACTATATGACTCTTAGGGTAGTTTCTTAGGACATGAAGAGAACCACTTTAATGAATAGCAGAGAGGCACTGTATTCGTGTGAAGTTCAAAGCATTTCTTCCACATCATTTTCAAAAGCTGCATAGTGCTAATAGGTATCTTTGCACAGCTACACTTGCACAAATGGGGATTATTTTACCTGCTTGAATCAATGTTTTGGACACAGTTTCATTATGAGCATTGCTCTGCTGCCCGCCGGGAGAGTTTGGCACAGTTGGCGATCCAACTGTTTCTCCTGAAAACGTTTCCGATACTCTAGTTACTGCAGTAACAGGCTGGTGGGGCATCCGCAAAGACATGGCTGGAGCATGTGCCTCAAGAGGAGAATCTGAAAAGAGAAGAGGGTTTCTTGGTTGAGGCTAGTCAGGGCTGGTGATGAAAAGAGCAAACCTGTGTTGGGATCATTTTTTAAATTTAAAATTCTATACTGTCTCAAACTTTCCAGGGAGTTCTTTCTAAATAATTGTTTTCTTAGAATAATATCATTTAAGGAAAGTTCAAATGCCACAACTATGAGACTCCTTTAAGCAGAGTAAATAAATGGCCAACTAATTGCTTGATTACAGCATATAAACAAGAACACTAATCTCCAACTTTTATCTGACTGTACAGCCCAGCAAGTTCCATTTTTGATGTTTATTGGGGTATGTTCAGATACGGAACCAATAAAATCTATGCTTTCATCATTTGTTTATGCTGTCTTTTCAATAAATAAAGGAGAATATTTGTAGCTCAGGGCTGAAATGAGGCGTCCTTGGTACTCTCTGAGCTTGGTTGTTTGCAACAAAACATCTGCCAGAAAACAACCAAGCTCAGAGAGCACCAAGGACCCCTCAATTTTCAATAAATGTCTTGTTTTAAAAATGGATTGATATTTATTTAGGAAATCATTCTTATATACCCACTTCCCATTTAATGACTAGTTCCATTCCAAAGACCAATTTGCTAAGCAAAATGGTTGCTAAATAAACACATACAGATAGTCCTCAACTTATGACAACAATGGAGCCCAACATTTCTGCTGATAAGTGAGACATTTGTTAAGTAAGTTTTGCCCCATTTTACAACCTTCCTTGCCACCATTGTTAAACGAATCACTGCATCTGCCTTGCCCACTGACTTTGCTTGTCAGGAGAACGCAAAAGGTGATCACATGACCCTGGGACCCAGCAAAGGTCATAAATATGAATCAGTTGCCAAGCATCTGAATTTTGATCAATGATCATGGGGATGCTGCAAAGGTCGTAACTGTGAAAAATGTCATAAGTCACTTTTTAGGGTTTTTATAACTTTGGTCACTAAGTGAATGGCTGTAAGTTGAGGACTACCTGTAATTGAGAGAGGAAGATGCTGCAAAAAACAGCGGTTGTTGCCCTTTTATCCAGATAAATTCTTGTACAGCTATGGCAGCCTCATTCTCCTCTGTCTTGCATTGTTGTCAGGCATACTAAATTTGGTTGTAAATGTGCACATTGTTCAGATTTCCTTTTTTTAAATTACCATCATATTTGCTAATGATCACTAAACAGTTGCTCAAAATAATGCTGAATAGGATACCACATGTGATGGTCTTAATCACATATTTAAAAGAATCATCGTGTCCTGAAATATGAAATACTATTTGATACTAGTTTGAACTATTATAAATTGTTACTAGAATGCTGGCCATCCACCTGGGTTTAAGCTCAATGTGGTAAACGTCAAACTATTTAGTGATTTAGAAGACATTCTTTATTTCCTCCCCAGTCTAAATGGATATTTTTCTTCTTGTAATCTAGGCAGGAAAAAGAAGAGTGAATCAAACTTCCAGAGCCTGTGTAACATCACTCCAAAAGCCAGTTTAACTTTCACCGCATCATAAACAGGTAAAGATTTATGTACTCACTAAAATGACTTCCTTTCCTTACCTCCTGACAACTGATGCCCATTCTCAGTTATGCCTGAATCAGGAGTTCTTTTGCTCATAAAGTTCTTTTCGTCCTCAATGTCCAAACTCTGCAAAGGCAAAAAGATAATGCACACAATTACAAGCATTTACT